AGTTTAAAGTTTTATACCTAAATTTAGTTTTAAAAGATGAGAAGTCATCTATCATCTAGTTGTCCTCTTCATACTCTTTGCGCTGTTATAAAAGGTTTACCTTCGCCAGATCGATCTCCGAATTTCGACATTTCAGTTCTCACTCCCAATCGTGTAATAAAAGCAAAGATAATATAGTGTAAATTTACACGAATATTTCGTCCAAATTTTCGTATAAGCTACTTACGAAACTGGAAAATGGTTCATAATAAAATCTCACCTGTAATAAAGCTTGTGGTCTAATGTCGTCGAGCTGTGTCGCTACGTGACTTTATTCAGGCAATTTGAAGCATAATTAAAACCTAGTTAGCGGCTTTTAATTACTTAGGTAGGTAAGTGTGATGAAATATTTCTAGATGCTATTTTTTGAATTTAATATACAAACTGTTTTAGGAATATGAAATCATAACGAAACACGCGTTAAAAAGATCATAAAAATCCGTGAAGCGAAAACTTTGTAAGTACCTCATTTTAAGGAAATTGCCGAAATTGATGAACGTGAAATTTGAGACGAAAAGTATTTTTAATAAAAAAAAACTTATTTCGTAAATACTAGTCGAATTACGATCTGTACGGTGTTCAAATTTTGACCTGTTTCCATCTTACAAATCGATCGCTCATTTTTATATTATACTTTCTTAATCACGTCATCTTTCAAGTAAATCGTTTTAAAATTCCTCTCGTCTTTTATCCCGTCTTCTCCCGGATATATATAAAACAAGACGTTAAGTCTTTATTACGTTTAGTTACGTAAGAAACATGTTTCCTCTTATAAATAAAAATCAATTCTTTTTTCATTTTTAAACCACTTTTCGGATCATAATGAAACTTGGAAACGGCGGAGCGTTTTGTAATCTTAAAAATGTTTCAGATCTTTTTATCGCAAAGTATTGGATCAGCTAATAACCTTTTTAAAACTCAATGTTGTTTGTAAACTCTTGTTTGGTAATTCGGCCTTTTAATTTGAATATCTTCAACTTTCTTTGGTGTAAGCTTTCAAACGTTTCTGATCTTCAAGCAGAATTCAATGAATCGGGATATCTAAAATTGTCGGTGAAGTTGTAGTGTGCCATGGATATCAATGGATACATGTGGTTCCTGTGTTTCTGATCTACAATCAAAATTCAATAAATCAAGGTCTTTAAGCCGTAGTGGGTATCTTGAATCTTGTAGAGTGCTATGGATATCCATGGGTAGACATGATCCCTTTGTTTCTGATCTTCAATCAGAATTCAATAAATCAAGGTATTTCAAATTGTACATGAAGTTATTTAAGCCGTAGTGGGTATCTTGAATCTTGTAGAGTGCTATGGATATCCATGGGTAGACATGATCCCTTTGTTTCTGATCTTCAATCTGAATTCAATAAATCAAGGTATTTCAAATTGTACATGAAGTTCTTTAAGCCGTAGTGGGTATCTTGAATCTTGTAGAGTGCTATGGATATCCATGGGTAGACATGGTTCCTTTGTTTCAAGTCTCCAAGCAGAGTTTGTTGAATAATCACATCCCAAATTGTAAATTCAAGAGTGAAGTTCTGTAAGTAGTCTTGCATGTTGTATACTCTGTTTAACTATGAATTTCAACAACTAAAACACCTCTACAAATAGTATATTTTGCTTTGTTTTACCAAAGACAAAATTTTATAAGTGTATCAGCAGTGTAAAACCAAAGTAAAAACTATTTCTCTTTGATGTAACAAATATGTTGCGGCAACACCGGGTCCGGGGTTGAGTGGCAGTGATCAGTTGATCAGTACTTTTTACATCTACTTCTGATTTTTTTTTCATTTACCTTGTTAACTGTCAAATATTCATCAGCAGAAAACAGGCCCTTTATTTTTTATTTTTTATTAACAAATTAATAAGTTATCGTAAAAGGCTCTCGAAAATATAACAACAACAATGGATTTATATGTTCCGTGCAATGTGTGTGCAACTCAGTACCAAAGAAGCTAAAATTAAATATTAAAAAAATTGAAAAGGTACGAATTTTTTTTCCGAGATAGAAAAGTGAATATGCTCAAATACGTTTTTTTTAAATTACTTGGATATTGTGTTCCCATAAAAATGTTTATATTAAAAGCTCTCTCCCCACAATATTTGATACTATTTTTTTTCTATGTCAAAAACTTGTAGCAAATCAAAAAAGGACAAACAAATACAAACGTTGCTATTAGATTATAAAATCTAATATTCTCTAAAAGGTTTTGTTTGAATAAGATCTTGTTCATATTTTATGTACACAGAAAAACTTTTGGAAAAAGGTCGACAAAAATAAAATATTATGGAAAAGTTGTAACACTTTTCTATGAGACCGATTCAAAAGATTCTTAGAAGGTTTCAACATTTTGATACGCCGTTTACAATACGCAAAGTTATGAATGTCAATCTATCATATCATAAATAGAAATTAATTTTATTCAACAGATAAATGCGCGCCGTAAATTACAGACATGTCAGACAATTTAAATTATAAATTAAAATTATAACAAGACTAATTTTCAAGTTAAATTAAATTAAATTAAAAATCTTTTATGTTATTAACAAAGTTCTATATTTATTGTAAAAGCTCTTGTGTTATTTGATATTCAAAATGTTAGACAAACATCTGTCTATCTAAACCAAAGACAAGTAGACAGCAAGTTAATTTTAAATATTAAAATGTAATTTATTCTTGAACGTTACAGGCAATTAATTGAACTGATGAAAAGGGAAACCTCAATGTATGAAAGTTTAACGTGCGCCACCAATACCGAACAGCTTAAGAAGGATTAAGATTATCTTGGGATCCATTAATTAAACTGTATATTGCACCCTTCAAGAGACGTGTTGCTGAAGTATACAGAGGAAAACGCGTGTCGTATTATGTTTGAAAGATTTACTTGCTCTGTGTCTATTTCATCAAAATAATGATAAGGGATTTATAAAAAAAAATATCCTTTTTATGTCCCTTCCTTTCTCCATCGAAGATAGACAACGAATCTACATTTTTAATTAGTTGAAGAGTCTATTACTAATTGCCGCTTGCAT